GGTTAAGGCGACCGCACCCTAGTTGTCACAGAAAATATCCATAGGCTCCTTTATAGCTAGTACAACTCCACGGTATCTGATGAAGTTCTTTATTCATGTTGCCTCCTTCGACGCTTCTCTTGATGCTTTGTACTCTGATTCGCATGTTGAATCAGCTACAGTCTCCTGTTTGGAACTTTTCCATGTTACTGCTCCTCTATTAAGGGTAAATTCCCAGCCCGACTGAGAGTGGAAATTATCTTTGTCGGTCTGAAAGCTGGCGTCACTATACCCTGTCACTCTCAAGTCATCACTCCCACCGAGGGTAAGGAGTCCTTAGTCCTTCGCAGGTACTTAAGAATGTTCTTTACTGTTATTCAGTGAGTTCTACCAGGATTCCCTTGATATTGACTAACCATGCTCAAAGCAAAAGCCACATGAGGGCGAGTACATGTCATAGCATACATGATCGAGTCAACTGCAGAAGCATATGGTACTCGACTCATTTTTTCTATTTCGCCATGGGTGCTTGGACTCTGAGTCGTACTCAGTTTGGTATTGCTCTGGATAGGCAATTCTCTTTTCTTTGAATTCTCCATGTTGAAACATTTCAACACCTTGTCCAAGTAGGTACTTTGACTAAGTCCTATTAGTCTTTTACTCCTATTTCTCAATATCCTTATCCCTAGAATATAAGCGGCTTCCCCGAGGACCTTCATAGTGAAACACGTCCTAAGCCAAGACTTAACTTCCTACAAGGTTGAAATATCATTTCATATGAGTGTTATGTCATCCACATACAATACCAAAAAGCTAACTATACTCCCACTAGTTTTGACATATACGCAAGACTCATCCTCACTTCTCGAAAAACCAAACTCTTTGACTTTCTCATCGAAACAAAGATTCCATATGCGAGATGCTTGCTTTAATCCATAAATAGATTTCTCAAGCTTACACACTCTATCAGGGTACTTCGCATCCACAAAACCCTCTGGCTGACTCATGTAAACATCCTCAGCCAACTTCCCATTAAGGAAAGCGGTTTTGACATCCAACTAGCATAACCCTTATAGACTTGATCTTAGCTACTGGTGAGAAGGTATCGTCATAGTCAACTCCAGGAGTTTGAGTAAAGCCCTTCACAACCAATCACGTCTTATATGTGTGCACTTTCCCATCCATATCGGTCTTCTTCTTGAAGATCCATTTGCACCTGACCATCATACGGCCTGGTACATTGTCAACCAAGTTACAAACTTGATTGTCATACATAGACTGAATTTCACTATCTATCGCCTCTTTCCACTTCGCAGACTCTTGGCCCGCCATGGCTTCCTTTTAGTTGTTAGGTTCATCCAAATTTACCAGTGTGCTATCACTGATAAAAGTATCACCTTCACTTGTTATATGAAAACCATATAACACAGGTGGAACACTAACTCTACTAGAACGTCTCAGAGGTAAGGACTGGTCAACTGGTTCAACATGAATCTCATCCTCAGGTTGAGTGCTTGTGTTAGAGGTTCCTTCACCTCTTAACTCTTGAAGCTCTTCAAGGTCAATTTTCCTCCCACTATCCTCTTGGAATATGAGTTCTCGTTCATGAAAGACACCCATTCGCGCTACGAAGACCACGTTCTCACTAGGTCTATAAAACAAATATCTAAAAGATTTCTATGGGTAGCCGATGAAAATACATCGCTCACTACGAGGTTCGAGCTTGTCGCGAGTCTCTCATCTTACGAAAGCCTCGCAACCCCAAACCTTGATATGTGCTAACGATGGAACCTTCCCTGTCCACATTTCGTAAGGTGTCTTGGCAACCTTCTTAGTTGGGACTAGATTAAGGATGTGGGCGGAAGTCTCTTAGGCATACCCCCAAAATGATATAGGTAACGAAGCTCGACTCATCATGGAACGAACCATATCGAACAAGGTTCGATTACAACTCTCAGTCATACCGTTAATCTATGGTGTCCTAGGTGGCGTCAATTGTGAAACAATTCCACATTCCTTAAGATAGTCGTGAAACTCAATACTAAGATACTCACCACCTCGATCAGATCAGAGCATCTTTATCTTCCTGCCCAATTGATTTTCCACTTCTTGCTTAAACTCTTTGAACTTTTCAAATGTTTCCGAGTTGTGCTTGATTATGTAGATATACCCATATCTGCTATAATCCTCGATAAAGGTTACATAGAAGTGGTTAGCATCCCTTGTGGCAGACCTAAAGGGTCCACACACATCTGTGTGTATGAGATCTAACAAACCCTCACCTCTTTCACAAGTACCAGTGAAGGGTGACATGGTCATCTTTCCAAGCAAACAAGATTCGCACGTGTCATCTGAATTTAAGTCAAATGACTCCAGCACTCCATCCTTTTGGAGTTGGGCTATGCGCTTCTTGTTGACATGTCCAAGACGACAATGCCACAAGCATGCCTTGTCCAAACCATTGGACGAATCAATATGCAATACATTATTTCCTAAGTCGTCTACAACCATCACAGTTTCATATATACCATTAAAAGGCAATGCTTCAATATAAAATATATCATTATAAAAAGCATTAATAGAACTAATTTCATTGTTAAATGAAAATCTAAAACCTTGTTTATACAAACCATGAAAAGAAATAATGTTTCTCTCCATATCAGACGAATAACAACAATTATTCAAATCTAGCCCTAAACCATTACTAAGCAATAAAGAATAAACTCCAATCTTCGTGACAGGTGACGTTTTCCTATTCCCCATGATCAAGTTCATCTTCCCGTGCTCCGCATCCCTACTTCTTTTTAGAACCTTCAAATAAGAACAAATGTGAAAACCACATCCTGTATCAAGGACCCAACAATTAGCATGTGATGAGTTGTTAGATTGAATAGTGTAAATACATGCGAAGGTGGGCTTTATCTTCCCATCCTTAATGTCCTGCAAGTATTTAGGGCAGCTTCGTTTCCAATGCCCTTTCTCATGACAATGGAAGCACTCTGCTTCCTTTGGGTTGGATGAGGGAGTAGCAGAACCATCTTTGGATCCACTAGAAGAGGATCCATCACAAGACTTTCCCTTTTGATTCTTTGTAGGAGTTTTCATTTTCTTCCCTTTACCGTGTCTAATTGACAGGACTGGGGCAGCAGTAGTAGGAGTGGGTACAACAGACTTGCCTTTTAAACTACTTTCAGCAGTTCTTAGAAGGACTTGAAGCTTGCTAAGAGTGACCTCCTCCTTGTTCATATGATAAGTCATACAGAAGTGATCATAAGAAGAAGTTAAAGAGTGTAGGATAATGTCAATAGCCAACTCTTCGTCTAAATTGACATTCAACTTAAGCAAGCGGTCCACATATCTCTGCATCTTTTGTAAATGGGCCGTGATGGACTCTCCAACCTTCATATTTGTTATTATCATGGAGGCAATGATTTCATACCTTTCTTGTCGAGCACTTTGACGGTACCTTTCCATAAAATCTTGGTTCATCTCGAAAGGCTAGAAGTCCTCGTAGGAGTTCTGCAGATCAGAAGTCATAGTGGCTAACATGATGTACGTCACCTTTGTCACGTCCTTATCATGAGACCTATACTCAGCCAATTGCTCAGGAGTAGTAGTTTGTTCATCAATCTCCTTTATCTCTTTATCAAGGACGTATTCTTTTTCCTCGTATCGAATGGCCATACGAATGTTACGAATCCAATCATTAAAGTTTGAGCCATCGAAGGTCACCCTCCCACATAAGTTCATGAGGGAAAAAGAGCCAGAAGAGTTGGAGCCAGAAGCGTTGTTTGAAGTAGACATCTGAAAAAGAAGAATACGCTTTATTAGATAGAAAATCCTTAATATAACACTGAAATGAAATATTAAGGTTAGGACCCAAACACAATAATTCACAACTTAGAAAAGGGATGCCGTAATCTAATTGCAAGTTATTTGAAGGGAGGTAAATGACGATTACCAATTTTCACCACCCAAAACCACAATTTAAAAGAATTAAGTTTTATGAAAATACTAGATCTTTGAGATTCATTGAACCTTTTCAATGGCATGTTTTAATCTCGATTATGCCCTCCAAGTTTGTGACTGGGATACCGAGGATCACAAACAATTTGTGAATAACCATGCAAATGTGATTGGTACTTTTGATGTCATTTATCACCTAATCAATGTATCGGTTAACCACACATGCTCCATTGATCTATGACAAACATCGAGCTACCCTTTGCCACCCTTGTTAGTCCAAATTAGTGTGCCGGTAAACCACACACGCTCCACTAACGACTTAGCAAGGTGCAAAGTGCAATTTCATGGAATAACACCAGTTTCACATTTTTCCTAAAGTAACTAAGATTGGCACTACTAGAAAAACATCCTTTTACGACGCGTAAATGCGTGTCAAGGAAGTCCCTGTCATAACGAGAGACGACACGCTTTTGCGCGTCGTCTATAGATGACGCGCATTTACGACGCGCAGTTACGAAACATATTTACGACGCTCGTTTACGACACGCAATGCGTATCAAGGAAGGCCCTGTCATAAAGGAAGACGACACACATTTGCATGTCGTAACCTTACGACGCATGTTACGACACGCAATGCGTATCATTAAATCCCATGTCATAAAGGAAGATGACACATTTTTACGTGTCATATTCTTAAATGTTTCAATATATATATATTATATATATATATATATATATATATATATATATATATATATAATATATATATATATATATATATATATAGATTTACTAATTTTCAAATTAAATTAACATTTAATGTCTCATAATACAAAATAAAATATCATATATAAAAATACAATCCAAGGCTTCAGATATGTACGACAAGGGAAGGAGCATGATCCAAGGCTTCAAATATGTAACTAGAAAGGGCCTGATGGATAGCTTGGCAAAGCAAGTTTAGAACAACCTACATACACTCTATGAAAAGTAACCCTCCATCAAAACAATTTGTCATAATAAATCAATAGTAGTTAGAGAATTCATGTGATACCCTACATGTGTGCCAAAACATCTTCATGTTCTTCACCAGTTTTTGCAATAGTTATGGCTAATAATGTCTTCCCAGAACTCTGACATACAAGATATTTTCATAGTTTAAGTAAATGCTAATATGGAAGGAGTAAGTATGAAGAACTCACTTAAAAGTAAAATGTTGATTCTTTTTTTTTTTATGGAAGGAGCAAGTATGGAGAACTCATTGGAGGTCCATAAATCAACAAATGTCCAGGGAAAGGAAGATTGTAAGTACTTAAGAAGATCCCAGAGGAAGGTGACAGTAACACCATTAACCCTGCAGAAAGGAAGCAAATGCATGTCAGATAATCACAACTTCATTAATGTTTAAAGCTAGATATGGAGAATTAAATATATGAACAAATATTCCCATAAGCAAAGGACTACTCTATTTCTGTTTTGTCATTGCACCTTATAATATGCATCCTTCAGAAAACTCGACTTCATAAGCTGCTCCACCTTACATAGAATCCTCAGAAACGGAGAAAATGTACCCAATCATAGCATTGTAATTTGATTTAGCTATTTACTTTAGCATCTTATCTTTAGAAACCGAGAGAATGTACCAATCTACTTTCATTTATTCTTTCTATCACACCATAGCATTCTACTTCCAAATTTTTTTCATATTAAAGTGTAATCCTTTTTTTATTTCAACTTTCAAGCAAAAGTAAAAGTCGTTTTATTTATAACAGAAAGAAAGAAGAAAGATGCAACCAACCTGTGCATGAGGGTTCTGAAATTCTACTCCACTAGACTTATGAATTTTTGTCCACTCCACAAGAGGACCATGGACGAAAGTCTGGAGAAAACTCATCAATGTTTCTCTGTGTTCCCTTAGTACTGAAAGTGTAATCTCACAAACCTTCAAGAAGGTGCCTTCATACCCAGTAATCCCCAACCCGTCAATCATATTCTGCAAACACAATAAATACCACAAAGTATTTATTGAAGGTTCCGGACCCTGTTAAGTTAGAACTGCAATGGAATTCAAAAAGAGTGTCAATTTGGTCTTTTTACTTATATCATTATAAATCAAAATTGTTTCCCATAAATTAAGATATTTTACCTGGCCAGCATTAGTATTAAATCCAACTTTGAAACAGTTTCTTGAAGGTTCCAGACCCTGTTAAGTAAGAACTGCAAGGCTGACAAAGCCTACAAAAGAACAAAAACAATGTGCATGTGGAAAAGTCAACTTAACAACATTTGTAGGTTGATTAGTAGAAGCCAAAAGTGTAGCCCACATCCTATCTGTGAACTTAACAACATTTGTAGCCTCGCTAACACACTACAATTATAATTGTAAATTATAAATATTAATTGGCAATAATAATAATATAATTAATGTAAATATGAGAGAGTAAGAGTGCTTAATTACCTGTATTGGAATATATGCATGTTTGCTATTGAAAGGTCCAACTGTAAAAACCAGAAAACCCTGCCATGGCCCCATGAACTGCACTTTGAGCAAGAAGTGTACAGTAGATGTTATCATATGCATTGCTTGGAACAACCCGTATCATGTATTTTGGATCTGCAAGGGTACAATCGTTATTTCATATCATTCACCCACTTTACCCATTCATTCAGTCATTTATATATTCAAGTTTTCCTATATATTTCATGTTTATGGCCATTTTCATGACTGTTGCAAAATGTTGTTTAATTTTCTGGGTCAACCATTAACCAATATCAATAAGGAGTTTATTTCCAGATGCATCTCTCTCTTCAACTGCACTCACACTATCAGAAACATATTATTGGCCTGCGCCTTCAGCCAACACAATCACCACAAGCCCGTTCTCTTTAAGTCTCTGTTGAATGAACTCAAAAAGACCACCTTGCCCTTCTAGATAGAATAGAGACTCTGGAATCAAGCAGTAATCCTGTTTTACAATTACAATAACACCTATTAATTATTATTAACATATCTATCTTATTCTTGCATTATAGATTAATAAAACTAATAATATTACAAATTTGTTATTTAGTTACCAAATCTCGACTTGCCAACGTGGCAAACATGGTAATGAATCCTGAAAAAGGTCAAACAAGTTTGGAAGAATAAATAAGAGAGAAAAAAAATTAACTTTTTACCAATTTATTATTTCATGAGGAGATTGAAGATAGATACTTGCCACTGTATCGACCCATAAGTTTGACTATTCAAACTCCATTTTCAACACTTTCCACTTCCACATGTGCATCATTTATTGCTCTTTGAGCTTCCTCCACATGTGCATCATTTATTGCTCTTTGAGGTTCACTTTCAGCAGATACTTCCTCTGAAGCCAACTCCTTCCACTATGAGAAAGCTTCATTGGCAATCGAACTTTCGAGGGTAGATACGTCCATTTCAATGACATTTTTAATGTCAAAATCATGAGGTCTGTATATGTACTGTTTTGAATCAAGCTCTTCTTTGGTTCTAACTAGAATCTTCATTTTCATCCAGAGATTTGCAAATTTATCAAACATCCTATCCATGAGATGATGTTGAGAAACATAAAATAGTAAGTACACAAGAGGAATACTCAAAATCTGTGATTCCAAAGTCATGAACACTTACAGACCTCAGCAAATGTTGTACCTAGGATTCAAAAACACAAACCTAATGTTTCGTTCTTTAATCTTGTGGTATGTTGTCATGGTGGTATAATGGGGCTTTATTGGTGGCGGTGGTGAACCGGAGAGAAGAAGAAGGGTGGTGGGTGCCTGGGTGGTTGTCGAGCAGTAGGGGGTAAAGAGAGAGAGATAGAGAGAAAGACAGAGAAAGACAGAGAGAGAGAAAGAGACTTGTAGTTGGTCGTGTATTACCTGCATCAAATTGAAATTGAGGGAATGTTGATTTCATAAGATGACTTTGAAATCGCAATATGTATATGGATGTCCACAAATTTGTTGCTAAAACCTAGCACAATTGCTTCATCCAACTTCAACTTCCTCGCAGTCGACGCCTCAGCGTCGTCGGCACTTTCAGGAACCGACGCATCTTTAACCTCGAAACCATTAGATTCACGCTTCCTAGGTTAAGAGAAACATCGAATTGAAGGCAATCTACGAGTAAGTCAACGAATGTTGTTGAGAAGTGTCGAGATAAAGATAAAGTAGGGCTTGTAAACCAAAACATACCTTAATCGTAGCTAGAGCTTGTAACGTTGAGCAGTCGTTGCAGTCTTCGGTGAGGTGAGGTGAGCCCGAGGTCGCTGGTAAAAAGAGATGAGATGAGGACGTTGGTGGAAAGAGATGAGTCGAGGTCGCCGGTGTAAAGAGAATATTTGAGGTCACCGACAGCAGGTGAGGTGAGGTAGCGAATGTTACAGAGAGCACTCCTTGAAAAAGCCCTAGATAATGGTCCCTGCAGTTTTGTGATAAGAGAAATAGTCCGGAAACGCGCGTTCATTTTAAAAATTATAAAGCGACATGCTCACACGACACACTATTTTTAAAAGGTGCCCTTTTTTTCGTTTTGACACTAATTTTAGGGCACGGAAAAATGCGTGACCTAAATTCTTCAAATTTTAGAGGATATGCCATTATTTTAAGGACGCACACTTTTGCATATCGTAAATCACTGTGTATCATGGTTTGCGCGTCGTAAAAGGCTGTTTTTCTAGTAGCGTGGGAATTTAGAAAAGTGTTTAGTTACTTCTTATAATTATCACTATACTTTTAAATGAGAAGTAATATCCTATCATACCCGTTCGGCTAACGACCCTCCACTAGTCAAGGGAGCGGTGGGTGAGAGTGGACACCCATTGAATCGCCATTTTATAGGCAATTTCTTTATACCCCTTATAGACTAGCTTCGTGAATGACGCCTACTAATGGTAGGACTGACTATCTTATATATATATATATATATATATATATAATATATATATATATATATATATCTATATATATATATATATATATATATATATATATATATATATATTAAGCTTTAAATATTACAATAGTCAAAGGGTTGAATTTTACACTTTTAAAACTCTAGGGTTTAGAATTTAAATATTTCAACATTAAAACCTTTTAATCAACATTTTTAAATTCCAAAACTTGAGGGAAAGTTTTGAAACTTTTCAAAACTCTCTTGGATCATTTTTGATAGCAATTAAATTAATCATACAATTAACTATATCACAAAATTGACCTCATCTAATTTCACATAGCAAGATGATTCAAATCAAATTCTACAAATAATTAACATTTCACAAAACGAAATAATTATCTTAAAATTTGACAATCATCATTCAATTGGATGAGGATAATCATTACCATCTAAGAAAAATCAAATTTTATCATTCAAAACAATTTGTGGTGATGATCCTAATCCAAAACTAGCCAAAAAAAAACTCAAAAATCTGCAAACAGGGGATCCTACTCGTCGAGTACATGGCATGGACTCGACGAGTTCATAGCATATGATCCAACTCGTCGAGTTCCCATATGGGACTCGACGAGTCCAGTAGTCAGTGGCCAGAAATGACATTTTTTCAGCTTTGAAAATCAAACAATTGCATCAATATAACAGAAAACACCCTAGGCTCTGATACCACTAAAGGGTTTTGAGCACTATAACAATCCTATGGTGCACATACAACCCTAGATGCTTTGGATCTAAGTTTTCTAAAATTATACATGCAATATCATTTCATCCAAAGCATACAACCTAGCTAGCATGCAATTAGAGACATACAACATAAAAACTAGTTAGATGAATACCTCTTTGTTGTAACTTGTAGAACCTTCCCTTTCAAGAGCTTAGCACCTCAAATGTGATGCCTCAAATGTGTTACAAACACAAAATGCAAAAAGAGGCTTATAAGAGAGGTTAGGAATCACCAAAAATCGGGTAGGGTTTGCTTCTAGGAAGAGTTGGCCGATTTTAGGTGCTAAGGGGTTAGTTTTATAGTGTGGAATTCCTAGGGTTTTCATACATGTAAACCCTAATTCACCATGACCATTCATATTTGATGGACCTTTGGACTAAACCCTAATGGACTCTCATATAGGTTTAGTCCATGGCTAATCAACATGGATCATTGGCCCAAACAATAAGTATTAATGATTTACCAAATCAGTCCCTGTAAATTTAATCAGTCTCTTTTGATCACTAAATTAATTCCAGATTAAGTCTTGATCAACACCAATTAAATAATATAATTTCTCAATTAATATATTATTCATATAATATATTAATAAATCACAAATAACCTCTTTCTCAAATATCAATCCTATCAAATTCCTTTGGTGAAGGCAACCCAAAAGGACCATGCTACTATCGGGTCAAGTACATACCAATTATAGTTATGGACTTAGACATCTAATAAAACAATGGAGCACCCCAATAACATCTCTCACCCTTTACAAGGGTAAAATAACATTATATATACCTAGACCTAATAACTAAGACCCATCCCAAAACCCAAACAAAACAACATTAAGCCCAACCGAAATCACATGTGATTTCGGTCCAGACAACACCAAAACATGGTGTTTTCGGTACTAGACCGAGAACTCTAATAGCTTATGAAAAGAAAAGTATAAACCACAATTTATGAGATAACAATCTCCCCGTTGGTTTATAGCTTTCTATTCTTTTCAATCTTCTCTTCGTTCTTGACTTCAGCTTTAATCTTCGATTTCTTCACAATTTCAAGAAGAACATATGAATTTCAGCATGAATGACTTCATCTTGAATAATCGGACTTCCTTCAAAGATTTGACCTTGAACACACATTGGGTGTAGAGGCTTCTTGTAAAGATTCTTGAAATTCAGCACTTTCAGCTTTGAAACAATTCAGAGAAAATGACAGAGAAACTGATTCTTCTGGATCACTTCAGCAAGTTCAAAGATAGCAGCAAATTGATCGAGGAGGCTTCAATGGAATCTGTCACATAACTTCAAGTACAACTTCACCTTGCTTCTGGGGTTGAAATATTGTATGTTGAAATATAATCTTCACTTCTTGTTCCTTCGAATGAGTTTCTTCTTCGATCACAGATGCGTCTTGAAAGTAACCATGAATAAAAAAAACTTGTGCATCACAGATTCATAAAAAACCCATCTCACCACAGTTGTTCAAGGACCTATCCTTGGCTCATATGGAGACTACTCGTAGTATCTGTGTGAAAACGGAGGAACGCATTGCGATTTGTTGAGTATCGGAGAACTACGCATGGCCTTTTTGATGTTAGCCCCTGTATATCCTTGATTAAAGATCTCAATACAATTTTTTAAGTTAACAAGTTAAATTGGCCCTTGGCGAGACGTTCAACGATAATCGTTCCTTGCGAGGTGCATCGCCCTGGTTCCAGGACATCTGTACAGTTTCAGACTTTTAATTCCTTAAATACGACACTTCTTAGAAAGATACTGCCTAACTGACAATTTGTACAGTTTCAATCCTTCAATTCCTTGTGAAAATAGAGTGAAGTGTAATGACCATTAACTCCTTTCCAAGTTTCTTCTCCTTGCTCAAAAAATCCTGATACAGT